GGCTCGGTATTTTCAATTGACACTAAGGAGTTTAAGCCCAAAATCTGCCTTTGTTGCATTTAATGTTAATGAAAATCATTCTTTTCATATTCAAAACTTAGAGTAGAAAGGGGGGGAGAGGAAGGTCACAATTGATTAAATATGCATTGGTGAACTAGGAAAGTAAATTAGGAAAGAGTACAATTGAATATAACTAGAAAGGTATTTTATAATATTGTAAAATATGTGACACCTTGGCAGTGACTTTTTAAATTTTTTTGCGTAAGTTGTTTTTGCCTTTAATACACAATTCCAAATTAGTGACTTAAATAAATGCAATTATTCGTTATCCTAATAGTTACTCTTTTTACACAGTGAAAACAAAATTACATTTCCATCTACATCAACTTCTGGATCCAGCGTATTTTCAAAACTGAGGATTCTAGCACTTTATCAAACTGAGATAACATGGACAGAGGTAATAACCTTTCCTGTTTTTTTCTTTCTTATTTATTTATATTGTTAGATTTTTGAGGCAAGGAAAGCACAATAAACATTTCTGCATTATATTGTTCTACTGAAATGTGATCGCCCTTAGAAAAGGTGAGGTGACTGTGTTAGATACCCAGTAACTAACGTGGCTCCTACATAATGTAGGAAGTTCTCTTGGCGCAGGAGTGTAAGAAACATTGAACTTCATCTACTTTTGTAGATTGCCAAGTCGAGATAAAGCAGTTGGAGTATAACTTCATTGTTAGAGATTAATTATAGAGAAGATTGATTATGACTGATCTTTAACATTCACGTCCCAAAGGTTTGTGTGAATGAACTTTTTGTTTCCTTGTAGCTATTAAAGGTTTGCCTGTAGTTTTGTGTGTGTAATCGAACAAATCCAAATGGGAAGAACGCATGTCATTGTGACATGAAGTGCTTGGTTTGGCATCACCTTGCATCAGCAGGAGGTTGGCCTCGGACCTTTGCACATACCGGCCGTTCTTCAAATAGGTGATGCCTGGTTGAGTGCGACGCTGGTACGGCACAGAGGCAGCGGAGCTCTGACTTGTTTCAGGGGCTGAGCCGTGCAGGCGTTTAAATGACTCTCCGCCAACATGACATCTGACGAAGAATGGAGTCCTGTTGTCAAACCTGTTAGCAGTGAGCCTTTTTTGAGAGATGGCACTTGCGAAGCACATCTCGGTAGCGCCACGTTACTGATAACACCTTGTCAATTCCAGCCCATTATCTGGATTTCTCAGGGGCAGATTTTGTGTGTACCATATTGTGAAATGACCTGAATTTTCAGATTTTTGCTGCCAGCCACTCTCCAGTAATAAGAGCACTTACCAAAACTGGGGTTTGAGTTCAGTAGAGAGAAACTTCTTCGCTCTCCTCTCTTGCAGCAGGGCGAGAGGAGGGTTGTTGCTATGCTTGTGTTTCGTGTCCATTCATCGTGCTCTGAAACCATCCGTGGGGTTTATGCGAGGACAGCTGGCAATCCTTCCGTAACAGCAGCAGTAGGGGTGGTGACGTGAATGGAAGAATGAAGTGGCTACAAACACTTTAAATGTCGTCTAGGGCTCGTCAGAATACATCTGTGTGTTGTGGTGGTTGAAACGCTGGCAGCGGGCAGCAGCTCCTCCGTGCCAGGGTGGCCGAGGGGCTGGTCGGAGCCATTGCCGCAGGCCGGGCAGGGGTCTCCCGGGGCGGCGAGGTGTCAGAGGGGAGCCCCTGGTTAGTCAGAGCAGCTTCAGATTCTGTAGCTTTTGTGTTTGTTTTTGAAACTCTGCTCTAGCTGATGATTCATCATAGGCGGTAAAGACATTTCTGATTCAGAAAGCTTTTTTATAAAATTGAAGTTTGTTCGATTCGTTCTTTGTGAGTGGGGAGACGTAAACCTGGGCTTGAAAGTGGTGTTCCAGGGCAGCCAAACAGAAGGGAAAAAAGAAAGGGACCTGCCTGACCTGAACACTCGGAACAAACCACTTGAAAATGTCACTGCTTAAGCTATATGGGGAGTTACTTTGAAAAGTCAACTTTTTCATAGAGAATAATAACAAATATAATCCGGGCAAAAGAGAAATACAGTGATTGTCCATGGGAGTGTAAGCAAAGTCTGAAAATCCTAGAAGTGTTTTGATGAAAATTGAAATGGTGTTCACCGCTAAATTGTTCTAAAATCATTTATTGCCATATGTAAGAATATGTGGCGTGGGGATAGTTTTTAAAAAGAGCAGACTTGTGGGGTTTTTTCTTTTGTTCCTCTGTTTTGAAGTATTTCTCACATTAGAGGGACATGCTTGGCTGTTATGCAGTTATGTATATAATGTATGTTATTCAGTTATGCATAACTCCACATTTACATGCTTTGAGCATCATTTTTCTACAGAGTTCTTTCATTAGTATATTATATGCGTATCTGTAAATACAGCTGAGATTTCTATTAATATATCAGTAAAAGAGCCTATTACCGTATAACTGTCAGTTGATTGTTGAAAACATAACATATAGCCTTTAAGGGGGAAAGATATCCTGTAAAATATCTTACAGTTGGAAACCATTGACTTAGAAATTTAATTAAAGCATTTGAGAGTAATGAATTCATATTTATGACTCCAAAAACTTTTTTTCTTATTCAGCATTTAGATCATAATGTTATATTTGTCGTTCTGTTTTCAAACTAAGATCTTTTATTTATGAAATAATCTACTATTATAGAGGGCAGAAGAAGAATCTGGGTTAGAGCAGACGTGCAGGACCATGTTCCTGACACTGGCAAGTAGCAGGTAGTGGGGAAAAATTCTAGGCGAAGGGCAAGCATATGGTAAGAGCTTCTTATCAAATAATCTGGAATTCTGGGGCTTCCTGAGCTGGAGACCATATATCTGAATTTAATTAATCTTTGCAGATTTTTTGTTTCATGATTTATCTAGCTGTATTAAGAACCCATTTGAAATTTTTGATATCCACATCTTTTAACATCAGTTTAATTGTGTGCCCTATGAAAAAATACCCTTGTGGCGTTTTGATCTTGCTGCCTGATAATTTAACTTAATAATTCTTAATATTTTGTACGCAAGTAACTGAGAACAGCTATTCTCTGTTTGATAGCTTTGATGACTCTTGTTAAGCTTCTTTGTGCCTTTCCCATTTATATTATTTGCTTCCTGGGATAAAGAGGCAAAAATATAGGAACATGATGGACTTACATGGTGACAATTGTTTCTTTTTGTCTTTATTTCTTTTGCAGTAGGTCTTGGATTTCCATTTTTCTTTTTTGCTCAGCAGTGGCTACTCCACTGGCTATTCATTCCAGCCTTCCCCGCTATCCAGAACAAGCCCACCATCTTTTCTGAGTGTTAATTTGGTGTCAGATCTCTGAACTTTTGTTTCTGTAGGCAGGCTGGTTTAAGCAACAGTTGCAAATTCAGCAATTTTAGTTTCTTAGAATTGCGATGTCACTATCATTTGGGTCTGGCAGTTTTCTAGTCATCTGGTCAATCTATTCAGACGTCTTCTGATACTTCAGTTTTGTGCAGTTTTTCTATTCTGTCCGTCACAACGCAAGGCTTTGGGGGGGAATCCCCCGAAGGTTCTCTGCAGTGAGCACGCCCCCAGTTCTCTTGAGTCTGCAGGCAGATTCTTTTCATGCTTCCTCCTCACTAACAGCCAAACTGTTTCGGTCTGTCTTGTTGACGCAGGGAAACACTGTCCAAACTAGAGATAAAATACTGGTGTTTCCTGCTCTTGCCCTGGAGCAGGAGAAGTTGTTGTATCGGAGTTTGTAAGTTTACGTGTGTTGCACAGACGGCAGCAGGACGATGTTTCATGTTTTTGGGTGTGAAGCAGTTGAGCCCCAAATCCTATGCCGCCACTTGAAGAGATCTCAATGTTAATATTTCATATTGTGTATATAATGAGACAGTTATATGTACATCCAGCTGTGTAACTTCATCCAGCTGTAACAGAGAGAATGAATAGCCGATGAAAGGAGGCTTTTTGGTGTCTAGGGTAGTGGGCATTTCTAGGAGAATGGGTTAGCTAAGTACGTAACAAATGGAATTTGATTGTCCAGATCTCTGAGCTTCACTGCTTCGTAACCTTGGTAACCTCCTGTAAAAACAAGCTTGAGGTGATTATGTCTCTGTTCTTGCCTCTCAAAAGCTTTGAATCTGCTAGCCAATTTCAAACACATTTTGAAAAGAGGTAGGGGCTTAAAAATAATTTATTACCTACAGCTTCCAAGAAAATAGGAATGTAGATGGAGGAAAGAGCCTCTGTAAGTTTCCTAACCAAGAAAGGAGTAGCAGGATGAGCTCCCACTTAATTTGGCACAATTGTGAATACACACAAGAAGAATCTCAGCGAAAAAAAATAATTTGCAACTCGCAGGCACAAATCTGCAGAAAACCAGTCAGTCCCAGTGCTTGTGAGACTCCACTTGCTAGAACTGCAAAGTTTTTGACACTGTCACAACTGCGTACCGAACTGGGGTTTATGCCAGCAATTTCTATTGCTTTGTAATAAGTGTGTATTTTTACAAGTTGTGTTACCCGCTTGTAGAAGTTTGCAAAAAATAAATCTTTTAAATAGTAATCTTTATGTAATTTCAGGACATGAGATTTAAAACAAATGCATCGTTGTTCAATTTGTAGCCTTTTTGAACGAACTTAGTCTTTTTAGAGTACGTGAAAACTTCAGGGTATGTGCTGACTTCATGCGATTCGTGGTTCGTAGTGGTTTCACATGCTGGCACAGTCCCATGACAGAGAAGCCTTCAAGCTCTGACATTTTAAATTAAAGACATTTTAAGACATTTAAAAACTCTGTCAGACCTGACGAGATGTGCAGAGGTTCCAGAACCATTAGCAGCCGAGTGCGTAGTGCCATTTCCTCACCTCGCCAGAGGGAAGACCTGGTCCCTCCACCCCGATGGAATAAAACAAGCTCAGTTTCCAGGTCGCACCGTCTGAGGCAGCCTCGAGCCTGGAGCTGCCAGCCCTGTGGCCGTGCAGATCCCCTTCGGTGTCACCTGCGCTGGTAGGTCCAGACACGGGAGAGAGCCAGCTGGCAGAAAGGGAGGGCTAGGCAATCCGTGATACTTGTTTCTCAGGTTTGGGGAGCTAGGGCTTGTTCTGAGGAAATCGGCATAAAGTATAATTTCTGGAATAATTTTTCCCAGCTTTTGTTATATTAAAGGAAGTTTTGCTCTTAGGTTCTTCTTTGTGCTCCAGGATGGCCAGTACTTGAAGAATTGTACCTTATGTCTAACAACATTACAGTTTTGGAGAGGTAAGATGAGTCGCGTAAGTCGGTTGTTTGTGACTGATGTCCTGCTCAGTTACAAAGCAGATAAAGCTACGTTCCTGTAATGTCTACATCACCACGACATAATTGGAAAACAAGCGATGCAAACTTCACCTGATGTACTTCAGAACATTTATAAACACACACAATTATTTGCATGCAGTTCTATACTTAGAAAACTAGTGTTTTTGTTAACAAATAACTTTAAATGTTCTGCTTTTGTGTTTGGTTTTTTTCCCCAACGTGGCAGGCCTGATAATGTCCTGCAGACCCTGAAGCTGTTGGACCTTTCAGACAACCAGCTGCTGGATGGAGATCAGCTGCATCTAATCGCACATCTCCCCAGGTAGCCGTTCAGCAAATCGGTGGGAAACTCTTTGTCCTGGGCCTTCATCTCCGTAGCTGTTGTTGACTGAAATAGGAGATAGTATTGATGTTGCGTGGAAGATTTATGGAATCTTGAAATACAGGTGTTTTGCCCTCTTGAGGAGAGTAACTGGATTATTTAATCGAGCTTTTTAAATACAATCTTTTTTTTTTGTTGTAACACATTCTTAAGCTGTACGTTATTAGGTATTCATTATATACTTAAGAAACGAAAAGTGATTTATCACGCTACTAAGTTCTTTCTGTATTAGTATGCACAGGGTTTTACCCGAGATGACAGGGCTGTAGGGTTTGTGTGGAGTGGCAAAGCGAAGGAGCTATGGAAGTCGTTTCTTAGGAAGGGTTTCCTGGCCGCGGCAGCGTAACGCAGGTCCGCCCGTCGCCGCACAGCCATCTCGGGGTCGTCTGCGCCTGTGGAAAGCCGTTGGGCAGCTTGGTGGAAGGTGTCGCTCCTGAGGCTGACGCTGGAAAGACCGTTTGCGGTGGACGCTTGGCATGAGCACTTTACACCCATGGTGCCTGCTCATCTGTCCGTTGTAAAGAAAGCAAAACAAAGAGGGGTTGGGGGAGGTAAAAAAGCGCAGTGATAATTCTGCCCCATCTCAGTCATCTGCTCTTGGTTATTAACTACGGGGAAGGCTGCTGTTGGTTCTCTGCTGGGAGAAGCGTGGGGCACGTCCTCTGCACCGGCACTCTCTTTTGGAAGTTTCAGTGCTTTTTTGGGAGTAGCTTAAAGACTCTGAAGAGATGTGCTTCAAAATAAATAAAAAAAACCCCCAACAACAAACAAATCCCAAACAGTCTAAATCCCATACTGCACTGGGTAGTTGTATTTCCACCTCCTCCGAAGAATGTCTGTGGCAATACCCTTTACACAGATTCTTCTGGGTTGCCGTACCCCGGATAGCAGCGTCTTTATGGTAGTTACAGGCTTGAGCTATGATCCCTTGCTTTGGGCTCGCCATCCCGTGTGTTGCTTCAGCATTTCAGTTACAGTGACTGGAAAACTGGGGGACTAACACAATCGTTTTGCTAGTTTGTGGAATTATCTTGCACTGTATACCAGCACAGCACCAAAACACCGAAATATATGATTTTATACAGCCACAAGCTATTTAAAGAAATCATTTGGAAAATGACACCGTTTAAATCCAGGAGCTGTTTTGAAATGTTGAAATTATTGCACGTATTCTCTGAAAAATTGATTCCCTGACCACTCTGCTGAAGTCTGGGTACAGTCTGTGAAGCTGCCGTTCATTTGTCAGTGATTATGCATCATGTCAAAAGTTTATTAGATCTTTGTTTAAAAAAAAAATAAATTAGTATTTCTTTACAACAAACTTCCCGTGCCGCGTACAGTAACAATGGTATCTATGAAATTTCAGATTAGAACATCTACTACTTAGAAACACTGGAATATCTTCTATACACTTTCCTGATGTCGGATTTGGTATGTAAAAGAAGTCACTGATTTATAGCTTTATAATTCTGTTTAGTTAAAGTTTTCACTATTGTCCTCTAAATCTACTCTCTTTCCTAGGATGCAAGACTAAAATGTTTCCTTCACTAAAACGCCTTGTAATAAGTGACAATAAAATATCGCAGGTAGGTTGGAGTGTGACCGTTTCCCGTTGTGTAAATACCTGTAGCTTTGTTTGAGTAACGCGCAGTTTGCTTTTTAAAATGTCTTTGTACGTGTGAGATCCTGAGGTAACTGTTGAATACTTCGATCGACACAGAGGCATAATGTAAAAATTTAAAAACATTTCTTAACATGTTTACGGTAGCTAGTCCTACCCCTCTGCTTCCTCATAATTCCTCTCGCAGAATTCTAATGATCTAAAATGCTGAGTAGTTCCTCATTTGCTTATTTGTTTTTTTACTTAATTAAAGGTAATGCAGGTTTGGTTTTTTTTTTAATGAAGAGGATGAAAGTACTTGGTTCTGCTGAGCAAAAGAATAATCTCCGTCATGGTCACTGTCCAGGAACAGTCAACGTTACGGTGTATTGTTCTGCCAGGAAGTGTGTTTTCTGCTTCCTCAGACAACTGCTCCCTTCCATTTCAGTGGGCGTCTATCAACGAGCTTGACAAACTGCCAAGCCTGCGGTTACTGCTGTGTCACAACAACCCTTTCGCGGACACAGAGAAGAACCCAGAGACCCTGAGACAGCTCATTATTGCCAAGATAGGTCAGCTGGAGGTTTTGAACAAGTCCGAGGTACGTGATACTTCACCAAATTGCATCAGTCTGGGGAAAAACATTCAGTCATTGCCTGAGGAATTGTTTTCAGTTTCCTTGTTTGGGTGCTGGAAAGGGAAAGGGACGCGGGTTTTTTCAAGTGCCCAAGTGGTGCTGAAGTTGCAGGACTGTTAACAAAAAACATAGACTGGCCAGAAAACAGAAGCAGTGGCGTAGTTAAATCTGTTTCCGTGGCTGTAACACGAGCCTTCTGTAATAGGAAAACAGCATTATCATCTAAACCAAATCAAACTTTCAGCAGATGTTTGTCATAAAAAAGAGAGCAGAAGCAGCAGCTGCTGCGTAGTTACAAAAAACATCCTTGTGTCATCACGTACGGTAACATCTTTGCTTAGATATTCGTGCGTGGATTAGTCAGTACCTGGAGGTAGGGGCTGTAAGATTATCAATGGCTTTAAAATGTCCTGAATATATGGATCGGGCAGTGCTTGCCAACAGGGTTTGTAAGAGTCTTGGTAGTATTAAAACATAATGCACACCTAACAGCAAGGAGTCGGTGTCATTAATTAGATTTTCTTCTGTGGAAAGTTGTATAATTATATTATGCCCCATTCCTGCGTCAGTACAGATCCTTCCCGCTGAAAGAAAAGGAGCAGAGCTTGATTATCGCAAAATATTTGGCAATGACTGGTTAGCAGCCGGTGGGAATTCGAACCCAGACAAAAACAAACCAAGTGAAGAATTTCTTGCTGCCCACCCCAGATACCCATCGCTCTGTCTCAGTAAGTACAAGTGCAGTCAAATGAGCGTTTCCTGCCCTCTGGCACTGCGGCAGCACTAGTTCAGTCTCTTCGGTTTCCTCCCCTTCCCCTGGCTACTTCTCCGTGTGCTCCTGCTGCCTCAGGAAAGCCCAGCCCCTGGTGAGCTAACACCGCGGTGCTCTTCAGGCTGCTGTGGAGTTTGTCTTTGCCAGGTTCCTCTCTATGTGTGCTTTCCTTCACGCAGAATACGGGGCACCTGAAGAAGGAGAGCTGAAGGGACGACAGCCTTTGACACTGAAAAATCAGCTGCTGAGTAAGTGGCCAGAAATGGCCAAAATTCTTCCTGCTGCACTTAAAATATTTTATGGCCTTAGTTTTTCTGGGGTGTATATGGAGAACAAAAGGTTCAAAAGCCTTGAAGGTGTCATGGCGTTGCAGCTCATAATTCTGCTTCTCCACACTGTAGCAGTGAGTAGATACCTGCTTCTGTGCTGCTCATTTCCCCCTTTAACTCAATTAAGACTTAATGGAGAGTAATCAATACTCCATTCCGACACTGATGGCTTCTCTGCAGACGAAGTTGAGATTTTTAACCTCAATACCTGCACTGTTTTCTGACTTTTTTTTTTTTTAATAGCATCTTAACATAGGGATAGCTTTGGTAGTCGGGGCTGTCTACATATTTAAACTAGGTTACATCACAGACGTACAAACTCCCTTAGCTTTGTTGCCAGTTGATAGAAGAACTGAACCTTTTTTTCACTCCACGTGCAAAATATTAAGGCATTACATTCTAATGCATTTAGGTGGAAGACTAAATAGAACAAGGACTCTAGTTGGCTAGACATAATCAAAACCTTTTTTTAAGGAGGAGTCTTTTAATCTTTGTGAAAGAATTAGGTTAATAACTTCCTTAAAATGTGCTTGTACAGTGCTTACAAGATATTGAGGGTCAAAAACCTGCTTTAAACCGAGTAGGCAGTTTCCATGCTACTGCAGGTTATTTTAAAATGTTAACTAGTTAAGTATTTTTTGGTAGATACTCCTTTTGGCCAGAAAGCCCATGTTGCTTATTAGGGAGGCACTTTTAAAATATTTTCCCTAACTTACCAAAGATTAATAAAAACTTGATTAATAAAATTACTTCTAATTCTTCAGAGAATGACTAAATGCTATATTAGCTGCTTAAGTGCAGGCTGCAACCTCATTTTTTTTAGAAGATCAGGCTGAGCTAGGGGAAATAATTTGTAATAAAAGCAGACCAGAAAGACTCTGTGCTCCTGACAGAACAGGGCTTGACATTCATTCACTAACACCTCACCATTCTTCCTTAAGCTTTGACAATTAAATGTCCTGAGAAACCAGAACAGAAGCCAGTAGAGAAAAAGCTACCAGGTAAGAAGTCTTGGCTCTTGTTTTAGCGGTTGATTTGTAGATCCTTTTCAAATAACTCTGTTAAAAAATGTCAGCTGCCTCTGGCTTTGTCAGCTCCTGCCGATTTCCCTCTGAAGACTCTGTCATATAAGGAAATGACAAAGGTAGAAATTGTTTGAAAAAGTCATTGTTTTTCTGACCTTCATACTGACTTTCAGGCCAGCTCAAGGATAGACAGTTGATGCTTGTCTTACTACCGCTGCTGCTGGTTTCATGATGAATGTGTCCAAGGCAATCAGAGGCTCGTTAACTGCTGTGAAATCTGGTGGATGTGTCTAACCAAATAACAAGAGCACGAAGCTGTAAAAGCCAGCTATGTAGTCTGCCGTTCTAGATACTGAGGTCTAGTACCTAACACGTTAACTTAGAAACTAATTCAGACCTGTATCAGCTTTTGTCTTTTGAAGTTTAAGGGCCCGTAGTGAGACTAGAATGAACAGACTTTGTTCTAACTCAAACTGATGTTCGGAAAGATGTGTCAGAACGGAGTCTGAGAGAAGAGACTTACTCAAGCTTTATTCTAAAATAAAAATCACATTTATTATCACAAGTTGCATAAAATCAGATAGATACAGCTTTTACAAAAATGTTTGATAGAAAAATATTTGTCTGAGTACAATGTGGTATTACAGGAATAACTCACTATTGCTGTGCCTTTAGATAAAGCTTCAAAAGAAGTGAAAGTTCAACCAAAATACTGAGTATATCTATTGCAAACACAGGTATCGCCTCTGGAACAAACTACATTTAGTCATTCAAGATCCATTACAAAAAATACCCCTTCGTGTAACTGACTTCATAATATAAAGCACTCTACAACTCTGCTGGCAATTTGTTTGGGACTAATTAATGCAGTACCATTTCTAAGAATGGCACTAGTTCCACAGTGACGTTTGTGTATTTGTGCCGGGAAAGCCAATTCCTGGTGATGAAAACTTCAAGGACCAGTCGCCAGATGCAAGTAGTCAGAACCTGACTGGTACATGTCCCAAAGGTCACTTAGTTTAGCATTTAATAAATGCAAACTCAAAAAAGGTAAATTATGAAGCCGTAACACTAATTTGGTCTGTGGGATCAAAGCACTTAAACCGTAGTAGCATATCCCGTCCCATCCACCAGCGATGGAACCTTTTTCAATTTGATATCAGCAGGTACAGTTTCAGGTACAAAAGACATTATTGCAGTGTATAGAATGGAAGCAGCAATACAGCCTTTCACTGCTGCTGGAAGCAAGTGTAGGTGGAACACTGGTACTTCGCTACAGCTCAGCGGTAGCGGCATTTTGCTAATAACTTTTCTTTCTTTCCCCTTGACAGAGTCTATGACTATTCAGAGGGTCAAAGGATTGCTCTATCGCCTACTTAAAATTCCTGGTTCAGAACTGAAACTATCCTACGAAAGTTCTAAAGTGAGTTAAAAATAGGTAATTCAACAATAAAACACCGCATGCTGCTAAAGGTCAATAGCATGTTCTAAAATACTACCTAATGAAATAGATTTCACTTCAGGAGGGCAGTCTTCACGCTGTGATTTAGGACCTAATTTCTTCCCTGTAATATGACAGAGCCTCCCTGACTGCAGCTGCCTGGTCTATATTTGGTTTACAGGAACAGATTTCAGTTTAAGTCTGATCAGGTTTTTCTCCTTTCTTATTCTAGCTGGAAGGAAAAGAAGTTGAACTAGACAATGACTTAAAGCCTTTGCAGTTTTACTCAATAGAAAATGGAGACTGCGTGTTAGTACGGTGGTAAGAAGGGGCTCTGTTGATAGAGCAAAGGAAAAGCCACCACAGAAGATTACAGACTGCCGGCAGGTGGAAGGGACAACCTGTGCCTGAAGACACGGATGGGAGAAGGTGGAATTTCATACGTGGCACCAGAGGGCTACACGGCAGTACCTTCAGCTCCTAAACTTCATCGTCAGTCACCATGAAAGCATTTGCTTTTGGCTGAATTGTCTTACTGGAGAGATACCAAACAGTGCTTCAACATTTCAATTAAATAAAAACCAAGGCAACTTTTGCCAAGATTTTATACTACCTTCCTGTTGCAACAGTGAGAATTTGTTTTACTGAACTGAGTACATGATTTACTCGTGATCTCTTTGCTTATTATAGGACAAAATTAGTGCTCCAATGAAAGAGGCTACTTGCTCTTTTTGTTTTCACCTACTTCCAAAGACCTTAAAGCAAACAAAAATAAACCAGCAGTAACTGTAGAAGTATCTAGACAGCCTTAGACTATTTAAGGTCAAAAATCTGACAGACCTTTATTCTACCCTACAGCATTAACATACCACTGTATAAATAAGTTCTCGGCATACTGCAAGGCATTGCTATTTATTTTACATTCTTTAGCGTGCTGTTCCTCTTTCACTCGTGTACCCTCAGATTCATATCTAATAACACATCAAGCTATAAGAAATCGCGCCTAATCATGCCAAGTTTGCAGTACTTCAACATTTGGTATAAGCAAACTTTGATACTGTTTTTGTCTAGGGTGACAGTGGTATAAAGCAACTAAAAGTAAATCCTAACCCCTCCTAGCTGTCCCAGCCCCCGCACAGCTGAGAGCACAGAACCTGCTGCAGCGAGACTTACCAGACACGCTGGGGCCCAGCACAGCTCTGCACTGGATCCTGGCACGGCTCCATACCGAGTTAAATCAGTAGTACTTTAATTTACAACAGACAGGCTAGTTGGCATTCTTATGTGCATTTATTAATTATAAGTAGGTCTTTGACTTTATATAAAAAGGAAATTTTTTTATCTTAAACATTTTGGTTTTTGTCAGACCAACATCTATGCTATAGAAAATGAGTAGCATCAGTCCACTTGTAATTATCAAAAGGGATGTGCAAATATACTTTAGTTGAAACCCAACATTAAAAGATACCTTAATATTCCTTATTGTTTAAAGAATGAATCCAAATGTACACGTTTTCATCATCATGATATGCTACCCTGTTTTCCAAGGCAAGTCCATCATCTTTCCTCGCATCTACACGGATCTCCACACAGCTCCTTTAATCTCCAGAGCTCGCTCAGTTCCTGTGGAGAATACTGGGGGGAAGACAGCATGCCACTCTCGCATGTCTTCTCACACAGCCAGAGACTATCCTGTTCGAGAGAGAACCATTTCAGTAGTTTTTGTTATAAAGAATTTGGTCTTCAATAATCTTTACTTCCATGAAATCAGGTTTTCACTGTTTCTAGCAACAAACTTTGCGCACAGCTGTCACCAGCTGGAGGTGCGCGTCCCTCGGATCTGCTAGACCCGTTCAGAGAACTGAACAGGGGGTGGGGATGGGGGAGGCGGGGGTTCGTGGGGGTTGTGTGGTTTTTCTTTTAAATACATTTTAACAAGCATCCTCTGAATTTCAATGCAATAGCTGTTTCAATTCTTTTTTTTTAAAAGAAAAAACATTTCCTCTATTTTGTGCTACTTGGAGCAACAGGCATGTTCTCTCCTTCCAAGTTCTTCAGACTTACTTGGTATCGCTTGGGTCCTACAGCTGCCATCCAGATGCCCATACTCACATCTTCACCCTGAGACAACACATTAAAATCAAGACAGATGTTAGCACCAGGAAGGCACAAAGCATGACTTTGTGAACTACAGTAAGTTGCATCGTGTACCAGCAGTAAAAAACGGTAACTACAAAAACCTATGTCTGACTGTTTTAGAGGTGTTAAATTAATCCTCCCAGCTTTCCTGTGATAATACGCTGTTCTCAAAAGAAGACAGTGCAAAAACCAAGGTTACACCTCCAGAGGTTCTCAGTCCAAAACAGTTTTGCTTTGACCTAGAACAGACGTTACGCATAGCGACCAAAAGCCAGCATCCACTAGGAGAACCCAGCACTAATGCCTGAGCAATGTGTTCTCCAGCTCACCCAGTAACCACATGCTGCTCCCCAGACCAGTTTAAGACAGAAAAACTGAACCAACGCTTTACTACCTGGTACGTCTTTAATCTTTCAGAGTTGCTTGCCAGCCACTGAACAATGTCTTTGGAGATGACGTAGCCGGACCCACAAGCAAAGGCTGGATATGCAGGACTTGGGTACTCCAGCTCTTGCCATTTCCCCGTTCGGTCAACTGCCCAATTTAGTCTGAAACTGAAGACCATGTTAGACATGAGATGTTTATACAAAGCCCTCTGTGAAACCTATCAACACTGCTAACAACTAAATAACACTGATAAATAAACAATATTAAGACGGAGAAGCAGAAGGTGATCCTAATTATAATTCCTAGCCTTATTTCTCTAGGGCACGCAGCCAGTCCGACCCAACGACTGAAAGTGCGACTCTTCTCCAGGTGGAGGCCTGCAGAAGGCCAGCAGCGCTCTGCCTGCACAGCCTCCCATCCCCGGGCAGCGTGGCGTGGCAAGCTTTAACACGCTGTCGCCGCCGCGCCGTGCAGCACTACGATGCGGTCAGGCTGCTGCGTCGGGCTCCCTGCTCTGGAGCAGGCCGGTGCTCCTCGCGCCTTACAGCTACTTCAGGCGCTCGCAGCTAAGTGGCATAACTGTGTCAACGCAGCAGGTTCTCCCCCTTTTTGCAAACGGGTTCGAGTGTTGCTGAATCCAGTCAGGAGCAGCTAAAAGCTGTAGTGAGCTACTAACACTGTCACCTCAGCCAACAGCCCCGTAAGGGAGGAATTACAGCTGCGTGGCAGATCTGTTACCAGACTCCACGTGTTCACAGCTGAAGCTGACATGTTAAAGCACCGAGCAGCTAAAAGTCACATCTGATGCCTGAATTCACTTCAGACTCAGTACCTTCCACTCCAGTGAGGCACAGCAGGAAGGGTGCAACCCCCTCCAGACTGAGTGGCAGCTGCTCTGCTCATCATTTCATACTTCTATAGTGATTTCAGCGTTGTTCGCTACATCTCACACTTGCCTTACCTGAAGACTGTGACTGCTGGCGAATTCACACTTGAAGATGTCACCCCTACACAAAGTTCTCCACAGAGTTACAGAAAAGATGCTGGTTTGGCCAACTCTTTCCTCAAGCCCACCAGAAAAATCACAGTGACTTAAGAAAAATAACGTTTGCAATTCTGGTATGTACTTTTAACTTTTTAACTTTACTGCTAGAATACTTCTATTTACTTAAACACCACGACAAAGACAGACACAACACGTTTTAAAACTAGCAAAGATATTCAGCAAGTTCACCTCGTCGTAAAGGCACACTCTGGAGAGCTATTGTAAAGGATCGATTTCTGTGTTCTGGGATTCAAAGTTCTACACGTACAAAAGTCCTGCTTTTTATAACTGCCTTCCAGAGGCAGAAAAGGGGAACCCGCATGAAAACAGAGCAGTACACCGTTCACTAAAGACATGGTATCTCTTAAAGACAAGTTACAAAAAAATAACTCACTTTCCCCACCAAATGTTTGGCCTGTCCAATTTTTTCTGCATTATCCTGTTAAAAACAGCCTCCAAATCAATGTAACAGTCATCATCTGTCTTCAGCAACAGCTCGAAACTCGTTGATTCAACTGTCCTGTAGCCAAAGAGAAGAGTTACGAGACGCCGAGCTGCAGCCCACAAATGACAGTTACACAACAGAACACTCCGCAAGGGTTTGCTGGGAAGCAGAGGGGGAGGAAGAGGGAAGGAACATCTGTCCTACCCTTGACTTTTAACTGTTTTCCCTGTTGCCCAAGGCCGACTGCTTGCCCTACAGAAGGGAGACACAGCTGCATCCTACAATCCTACAGCGTGGATTTGTGTATGAGCTGAAAACCAACTGGAAGTTTTGTTCTCCAGGACAGATGGTAGATTTACTAATGAATCCATCTTAAACGGTGGTGACCTCAGAAGGATCTGAACCTCTGCTGACGATGGCAGCACAGCCTTTAAAAGCCGGCGGCTACATGTCAGTACTGCCCTTCAGGGTGAGACAGCCAGTTCAAGGGCAGTACAGCCCTAGCAGGCTCTAAGAAACATCTGTGAAAACCACTTGGTACTTACTCGTCCTCAGTAAAGCACCCTTCAGATATGAAAACAGTAATCTTTAACTGGCTGAAATAGCTGAGTATCTGTCACTTGTAAAATAACCAAAGCAGCTTAAGATTCTAGGGATTATTCCTTAGTCAATTAACAAACACTGGCTTTAAGGGTAATTTAACAAGAAAGGCATTTTTCTTAAGCCTTTTATAGCTAAATCTTGAAAAATTTGCTAACTTGTAAGAAATGAACACAAAGATCTAAGTCTTGACATTTAAACTCCCTTTTCAAAACCAAAAGCATGGTTCAGCTTTTCAGCTACATTCATAACCATGAAATTTGTTAAATAAGTGCATAATCTTGCAAGCAACTGAAACTGTCAGCTATATTCCTTATGCCGCAGCAACGTCAATTAATTGAAACAGTTGTCTCAGAGCAATGGAAAGAACTGCAAATCAGAGGTAATAACTTATTAGATTCCCCACAGACAATGTAACACACTGTGAAAAGTCTCCCTCTCAGCCTTCCATCCCCCCCGTACACCAGCATCCCACCCTTCCCCTCCACCCAGCCCTGGCGAGGCCACAGCTGGAGTACAGCGCGCAGCCTCGGGCTCCCCAGTACCAGCGGGACACGCGCATACTGGATGGAGCGAGTCCAGCAAAGGGCCACCAAGATGAGGAGGGGCCTGGAGCACCCCTCCTGTGAGGAAAGGCTGAGGGAGCTGGGACTGCTGAGCCTGGAGCAGGGGCGGCCCCGGGGGGGGAGCCCATCAATGTGTATCAGTACCCAGAGGTGTAGAGAGACGGAGCCAGGCTTTTTTCCGTGGTGCCCAGTGACAGGACAATGGCCTCAAACTGAAACATTAAGTGTACAAGCAGGCCAAAAGTCACCCTTCAAAAGACTAAAGTTGCTAGTTTTCAGTCAGAAGCGTGTTAAAAGAAAGATTTTCACACCTGCACCCTTAGAGCAGAAGCCTGTCTTGTCAGCTCGTGCTTACTTGAGGCACCAAGGGTCAGCATTCGAGACAGACAGATCCTGTCATTTTATTCACTACGTGCCCCCAAAATTGTGAGAGAGAAATACAGCTCCATGAATTAAATAATGTCAGGTATGTATTTCATACAGAGAACGTAACATGCTGGATCACCCTGCACTACAAACAGCAACATTCCTATGAGAGAATACTTTCTTTTCCACTTACCATCGGTAGAAGTTCAGCAGCTTGGCGGGAACATTTCTGTAAGTGTCAATAACATCTACAAAAACAATATCATCATAGGTACTGCTTTCTTCCTTCAGTAAAGCGTCTTCTTTTTCAAGATTTTTTATGTGACTTGTAAACCTTTCTGGGCGAGTATGGAGGCTTTTTAAAAGAGCATCACCTTCTGAAAGAAGCAGCACCCATCATTAAACAAAGATGCACACCTACATAGGAATTCACATGTTTCTCTCGGATCATACACGACATACTGACAAAATGAATCTGAAGAAGTGTTCAACAATGGAGTTACGAAAATCCTACAATTAATTTAAAATTTTCTATGAAACGTTAAACATTGCATAACAACAAAGAAATACATTTTTGCATAAGGTCTGATACAGATTACACCAAGTTTAAAGTAAAAAAGCATTCTCTTCCTTTTCAGTAATAAAAGGATTCAACTTTTTAAGGTTCTTTAATATAAAGAGCTGTCCAGGACTTCACTATTACTCTTACCGATAGAGTAAAAAGGCAACTGTTACATCAGTTACTCCTAAGCATGCATATCTAGCACTAAAAAATAAACTCCAAAACAAACAAAAAATCCTAAATATAATCAGACTGGCATTGCTTTGATGTAGCATAAGTAGTCCCTGCTAAATTTCATCACATAACTGACTGCAATAGTACTGAACTTCTTGGTAAGGAGAGAGTTTGTGGTACTGAAGAACTTTTTGACAAACAGGACAGAAGGGCTTTAGCACACCTCTGCTTAGGCTTCTACACAGGTGAGAAGACAAGAGGACTGCCCAATTTATATCTGCCAGGCCCAAAAAACACAAACACACAGGAACAGCGCTCTGAAAGTCACTCTGTATGTTGACTATGGTGGACTGGTAAGAATACATCAACTCTAGTGCTATATGGCCAACTTCTTAGGCATTGGACAGGACTGCTATAGGGTCTGCGAACACCCTGCTGAATAGGTGTCAACCAGCAAAAACAGAGGTGGAAAAGCAGGCTATGCTAGGTAGTCACTGTGTCAGTAGTTAAATATGATGACCCAGTACTTCTAAAAGTAGCAGGGCTGGAAAAAATGTGAAAATCATGAGGGAAAGATTTCTTGAGGCCCACATGCACAACATTTTTTAACTTCGGTCTGGGTAACAAGAAACAGGACAGAGAAGAAATTCTAGCTAAAAATGGTGTTTCTGTTAATACAAAGACATGCAAGTCAATTAGAGTGGCTGACAAAGAGCAAGCAAAGAAACCATATCAGGACATTGACATTAGGCATAAAAAACCAGAAAGAAATTAATTGTTTCTACTAAAACAAAACTCACTTGACCAAGTTCATAGAGATAGCATGAATTTTACTTCAGAAATGTTATTTAAAGTTCCTGTTTTACCACAACATCATATGTGAGGCTGCGCTTTGCAGACTTACCTTGAATAGTGTAGATAAAACCACCTGCTATGCCCTCCACACCTTCTGTGAGTTCGTGTGGCAGTGACCCTTCCCCTGCCTGCCAGAGACAGATTAATGGAAAGAAACAAATCAGTTCATCTCTTCTTACTGATGCGTTTTTCCCTGTGATTTTTAAGGTGTGAAGTTTTGTGGCAACTGAGAATGAAATTAATTTAAAGCTCTTCTGGTTTAGGTACCTGAATAATGAAAGACGAAAACTTTTAACTGTAAAGTTTACTGGTATTTTTTGAGGTTTCACCTAAAATTAGTGGTGCCACTGAAATTTTTACAGAACTAGTTTTGAAGTTGCGAGCAAACGTAAAGTTATTCTGGCTAACATACAACAGCACATCATGTTTAAGCAGCAATGTTTTGACAGAAAAAGCAACACACTGCCAAAAAGCAAAAAACAGGCTTAATCCCATCGATTGGGATTTTAGCACACAACTGAAGACCCACATTTTGCCGTCTCTGATACACTGACACTGCTTCACACCTGACAAAGACAAGAGGTGAACTTCACTCCCTTCAAAATACAAGAAAATGCCACTCACTGGCAACATTTTTTTGCATGACCTTGTCCTTTTCCCAGGCAAGGCGAACTTCCCCTCTGAGACAACAGGAGAAGCCCAACTGAGTTAACGATTTACAGAGAAACACAGGAAGGCAAAATGCTAAACACCCAAAACTTCTAGGAAAAACAGCAACGTGGTGGAAGGGCAGGTGAGGTGACTCACTGTAATGACTCTGAAAACACCCCCTCCATCATTCACCATCACGGTATGAAGGTTTCTCGACACAAGGCCCTGAAGATCCTGGCTTTCCCACACAATGGTACCTTCAAAACTCTGGGAAGAGAGCAAAACGCTGTTATGCAGATATTCAAAGACTTCAAAGGATGAAAATCAAACAGTTTGGGGTTTTTTATTTTAAAATAGCCAACCTTATGCAACATACAGCTTGAATGCACAACACAGATGTTTTACCTACACTTCAATAAAAATAAGTTACACATAAAAGAAATACATCTGCGAAACTCAGTAACACGTGATCATGCTTTTAAGGCTAATCTTGAATCTCTATACTAGGAACATTCAGCTTCTAACAGAAGTCAAGTCTAAAAGGCTTTGGCTTTGTAACATCGTTAAGATGGCATTTAAAGGTGACATGAAGTGAATTTTTAAAAGCCAACTATAAAATCCTGCATTACAAAGAGAATACTTTAAAACAGACTTGGAAATAAGTGCTGCTTTTTAGTTATCTGCCAAAACCAGAGATCAGAGACTCGATCCTGACTTCAGCAAAACTCAAAGGAAAATATGGCCACCTCTACCCTGGCAAAGCTCTCGCAAGCTACTGTAGGAGAGTCACAGAACTCTGACCTCACATCTGGGCAGGTAAGGAAAGGAATTAAAAAAGACAAGTGAATATCTTAAAAATATTCTGGTTTTAACTGCCAATTTAAGTTATGTCACTCCATGGTTTGTGTGTGTGTGTGTGAATTCTTGCATTTAAAGGCATTTCATCTCAGCTGGAAACTAATTCACCTAACAGTCCAACTCTCAGCCATTTTATGTAAGACCTTCCCGAAGACCCCTGAGAACTGGCAAAGGGACAAGTGGTATGTCGTACAGGTAAAAGTACTGGTGGCATTGTATTTTTAATTTTTTTCAAAGCAATTTCACCCCTATGACAAGGTAGTAGAGAGTAGTTGTAGGGCTGTTATACTCCTGACTGCTAGATGAGCACATTCCATTTTTGTTTCTCCCAATTTCACAGGAAAAACACTGGTAGCTAGTGTGGACCTTGGAACCGAGAACCAACTTGTTGCAACTATTTGCAGATGCATCTCTGTTGTTGTAGAAAGTCTGTTTACTTGTAGTAACCTCTCAGCTCTGCCCCATTTCAGCTTCCTTGTACTCCAGAAACCTCCTTCAGGAACTCCCCAGTTACTGCCGCACCATCAGGCCCAGCTTAGAGTTCAGCTCAGTTCTTTGCTTTCCTCTAGCAGGAGGTCTTAACATCTGCAGCAGCCTTGGTATTTAATGACAGCTGTGTATTTCACAAGTCTCCCATCTATTATTTATAATGCCAGCTTTATAGTTTAACAACGGAGCTAGTCAGTGTTGATTCAAGCCTGACTTGCACACCCAATACCTCTCCCTTGTTTGTTTAATTACCTGTCAGTTATCGAAGAAACAGACCACTACTCAGACTTTTTTCAGCAGCAGGAGCCCTGAACGCCCCACACAGCAAAACCCACATGCTCAGTTGCTCTGTTTGCGGAGGTTGTCATCTCCCTTTCCAGTGTTTTTTGCTGTAGAGACTGGGCTCTGAGCCCCCTCCTGTGCCTTGTTTACAGACAAGGCCTTTGGTCAGTTGTTTCGTGCGCCTAAGAATCCTTTCACTCCTCAGCAACCAGAAACATTAAAATCCTCACCACTGTTGCTGATATCAACTTCAAACATGTACCAAGAGTCTTAATCAGTTATTATCAGTGAAGCTCAGTGCAAGGTGTTCTAAGGCTGCAAACCATCATTATTTTCCAGGTTGAGAGACTTGTAAGCAAATTTCCTAAAGACTTCAGCCTTCAGCTATTCTTACTCTAAGCTGCTTAATGAAAGCCGAGGTCTCAAAGTGCTTGAAGCAAAACATTAGTGGCACACCTGAGACGACATCATCTGTTTTTCCCCATCTAAATTCCAGCCTTGTTGCTGCCAGAGCGCAGTGGCATTTACAGTGAATACCGAACAGGTGTACTGACACAATGCAGCCCTGCCAAGCTCCTCTCCTAACGTTAAACAGCACCGTGCTTTCTGTTTCTCCCATTAGTAAGACAGAGTATGCACAGTACCATTTCCATGCAAGCAGCCCGCGGCTTTCTGTTAAAATAAGCACATTGCCAAGACTCGGCTGTAAGAGCCCCTGCGCGAGCTTTAGTCTTCTGCTAGCGGTTCTGCTCTTCTGCGCTTCCGGTCGTTCCAAAGCTGAATGATCGATTCTGTCTTTGACAATCTGGCCTGCCAGATGCTTGTTCTAATGCCACCTTTCCCTGCCTTTCCCCAAGACGAGCAGAAAGAGCAGCGCTTCAGCTGGAAGATGAACGAAGCTCTTCAGCACTCTGTACAATCCATTACTTCTTGAAGGTGGAAAGGCAGAGAACAGATACTGTCTCAGAAACCACCTTGTGACAATTAAACAGTTCACTAAATTTACTGCTCTCAAACAAGTAGACAGGAGCACGTGGGCCTTCTATCTCCTCTGAATCATCTCGTACGGTGCAGCATCCTAAGTATCACAGGAGACTACATGCTGTGCGTAAGCCCTATTAATCTACATTAGAAACAACATGTTATCCTGCAAGCATTCAGCGCATGGCACGTATCAGATTCAGGAAGCCCACACAAAGAAATATATGAATACTATTATCCCCTTTCTAAATGAAATACTTCCCATCTGCCTTTCGGGAAAAATGCAGTCATTTATAACAGAATTACAACTGCCTTAAATATTAAGGTCTCGGAACAAAATCTTACCAGGAAAAGACTTACAAGTTACACTACCAAATTACTGGGTAACCAATATTTTTTTTTAAATTGTATCAAATTAGATTGTCAAAACATATACACAAAACACTGCAAGAGGTCTGCTCACCTGAAAGCTCTCCTGCCAGCAAAACAAACTTGCATAGTGTTCAGTAAAAACTGTTTAAGATGATAAACCTATTACTCAGCTGCAGATTCCCCTTTAAAAGGAGCAGGTTTCCAAATGGATTAATTCTTACAGAGCCAGAGGAATAAATCAGGGGTTAAACTGGCCCCAAATGTCCTGCCCTCCCCCTTCAGTCTTCTCTTGCTCCATTCTTTCATGAAACTCTTCATTTCTTGCATAACGAAACAACCAAGATCAAAAGGCAACTTACACAAACAGCAGCAAGGATCCAGTCGTACAGGAGAATACTTAAATGAAGGGAAACAGCCTAAAATGGCAGCTGACATACCTAGTGAGAGATCACTGGTCCACCGGGAACCATTCCTTGGACCGGAGAGGGTCTGCTGAACTCCAGTTCTCACTCTGAGTCAACCTGTGTTCACTAAACCTTCACTCTAACAAGTTTTTTTTCCTACCTATATTTTCTTCCTTCTGTGTTTAATCACCATCCTTCCTAAGCAGCCACAAGTAGGTTCTACACCCCTACACCAAAACCCTACTCTTGGACAGCATCTCCAGTCCCAAAGAGGGTTAAAAAAAAATCCAAAACAAAAAAACCCCCCAAAAAACAAAAAAGACTTCAGACCCTGCCTCGTTAGCTTAGCTAACGGTATCTCAGGACAAGCAAGAACACTAACACTTTCATTACTGCCCAAAAAGCAGCCTCTTCCCAAATTTCTGCGGGGCACTCACTTAAAAAAACAAAAAACAAACAGCAAACCACCAAAGAAAAAACCCACTTCAGTCACAGGATGGTGACAGGTTTCCAAACCCCAAATGTCAGTCTTCTGTGCACCACCTGCTCCATCCAGTATATCACAGACAGACTCTGCTACAGATCTTCCTGAGGTTTTGACTCTTGTTTCCTTGCACGGTTCAATGAATAAACATTTCCTCACTGGTGCTGCCAGAAAAGGAATAAGCAAAATTTCAGCAGCCCTCAAGTAAGCGCTTCCTGATGACAACTATTCAACTAATACTGTCGTTGCGCATGTAACACACAATATCTTGCTGTTACGTCTAAGACATCAGAAGCAGAAACCTCTTTTCCCTAGGAACCTGTGCCATCCTCCCCTCCCGATCTTGTGTACCTGAAAACAAGACTTAAAAAAACAGGAGGGAGAAAGAAGCGTCCCATTTTCCGGTAAACTCTCCCACAACAACGAAGCAGGTACAATTTTCACTCAGAAACTGAAAAGGTTTCTGAAATTGCTACTATTTGCCAATGTAATTTTTCAATCAATTTGTATTTTTGCTTTGTAACTACTGTTGATAATGGTGAAAAAGAAATTCTGGATTTCAGCGTATCCCCCTCAACTAGAGCTTTTAACTCGCCCTCTTCTGCCTCAAGCAAAGGCCACTTTTCTCAGTCAGTCTCTCCGACTGACTTCAAAGAACTGCAGGCAGCTCCAGCACAGCACATACCTCCGGCAAAATGAACTGCTCCACGGGCTTGTACCACAACCTGTTCACTTGCACCCCACAGCTTGGTGGGCTAAAGCGAGCGCTGAAGAGAGCCTCCTGCGAACACAGAAAACAAACAAACAAACCAACCACTCATTAAAAGTGCTGTGAGATTATGTACATCTTGACCATCTCGGTTAGTTACAACAGAAAGAGGCTTACTGATTGTATAAAACTTAGTGAAAGTTTTATTCTTGCAGTGGTCTCACAGACTCCACAGATTTCAAGTGCTGGATCGACACGGTGGAAGCAAGCCACAATGGAACAAGAGTGCGAGTTCAGCTGGAACCCAGCCAACAGAGCACATCATCTGGAAGGCTCACACTCATCTCCCAGTCTACAGATTTTCTATCTTCTGTTTAACTACCTGGCTAATATTAATTGCAACAGAGGATGCTGACCCCTAAAACTTAATTGCTACTATATCACGTAGGCCACCAAACAGCTCTTAGAGAACAACAAACGACAAAGATGCTGCATTGCCAGACTCGCAATCTTCAGAAAACAGTCCCTAAGCACTCCCATGATACTCATTTTTCTCCTTCACTGGAAGGAAAAAGCTAATGCAGATCAAGTTATAAGGCTCTCAACATTTAGAATTCTACCATTTAGCCAACATAAACCCAATTACAGTACACTTTTTTTTTTCTATCATAAACCCAACTCCTTGGAAGTTCATCATAAAAGACATACTTTTAAATTATTAGCTTAAATTTAAAATTCTTTCTACTGTAGCATAGCCAGAAATCTTGAAATTGGCCTATCAAGTTATTGGTAGAGATAAATGCAATATACCAAATGCAACAATCATGCTCAGTGATTTTTTCCATCCAGGTTAGTACTAAGCTATTCTACCAAACCCATAACAGCTTGGGAGTGGGGGGAAATTATCAGTGAAGTTTGATTATGACCTATAAATAATACCTGTAAATTATAACAGTTTCTAGAAATCTCAAAATGTCTTGCCAGAAGACAAACAAGAAAAACTTACAGCTGTCCTGCACCCCTCTGCTTGAAGGCACCAGATGTGTCTTTCTGCACAGGTGTTTTAAATAACTCAGCAGTTTATTTATTATTCCTTAATACCTGTCAATACTTTAGAACTGCAAATGCAATCAACATTGTGTCTTGGAATTAAACATAAGCGCTCTTTCAAAAGGGCATTTAACTTCTAGCGCTGTGAATTTCACCTTTTCAGTTGTTTGCGTGCGTGTATGTGTGTCTAGATATCTGTGAAATAAGAATTCACAATGCAACAGAAGAAAAATGTTATTCATATGCTTGACAATTAAGTACTCCTCTTCTAAATCATCAACACAGCATGTTGCTTTCTATAAGAACTTCATCCACAACAAACAGACAATAAGATTTAGTCCACTTTCAAAAGATAACTACAATACTCTACCTCATGTTCTGCCTGGTAGAGTTTTACAGTGATGTTCCTCTGGAATCCCACCCCATCAGTCTCGTAAAATACCCCAAGGCTGGTAATGACAATGGGGTAAAGTACACGGAAGTTCACACTGACAATTCTGTCTTCGGATAGCACAGAAGGTACATCCTCAGGGAGACCGAACGCTTCAATTTCCTGATTCAAAACTGCATGAAGAAGAAAAGGCAGAGGTCATGTGAGAAGACTTCATAGTTCTTGAACTGGATACACACAAAGCTCATTAGATACATGCAAAGCATTCTGATTAATTAGCACGGCTCACAAATGCACAAGGATAACGGAACACTGGAGAAGAAGAAAATACAACTGGCAGCAGACTGCAGCAAGGAGAAGCTCAGAGTGATGCAGCAATCTGCCAGCTACCAGCATTGCAGGTCAATGCCTACGTACCCACAGAGAGAAGATTAGAAACACAATAAATCCACAGAGTGAAGACAAAAATGCTATTTGATTGCATGAATATCTGTATATTAGCATATTAAAATAATTATTCATGTATCAAAATGCCATCCACCTCCACTTAATTCAGCTGCCTGCTTTGTGGCATTGTCTCCTCCCTAAGCCCTGAGGTACCATTTATTCGTGGGAGACTGGTTAAGCAGTGGATGTTGCCATTCAAAAAGAAAGGAACAGAAGTTTCATTTAATTGAGAATCATGGCTTAAGTGCCATGCAGTCCTTAGTTAACTTGCTACTAAAGAAGAAAAAATAAATAGGAAAAAAAAAAAATAGGTGACAGGAAGGATTTACAATTTTAGTTAGAAATTTTTATATGGCAGCATTTCATTTTTTCCCCATGGTACATTTCTTTATCGTTCCCTCTCTAAGGTGGAATCTGAAAAAATCTACCAGCCAGACTTGCTTAGAAATCACTTTGTCACCACAGAAGTCCTCCTGGCACTCAAGACTCTAGCACCTTGCTTATATGTCTTCACATATGACACTGGACCGGGTCATTCCAGCTCTCCCCAACTTCATTTTACACAGGGATCAAGTGAAAACGTATGTTATATGGGCAAGACTGTACCCCAAGGCAAGGAAACACAAATCCATCAGAAGTCAATGGCCTCCCCTTACATCCACAAAGATCTCTCACTTTCTTGCCTGCACGTGGTACTTAAAAGGAAGGTTATGGGACTGTTAAGACAGTTCTAGGCAGCATTTATTTTCAAGACTGGCTGTCTCAGTTCAGCAACCCAAACTACTTTCATAATGAAAGATGATTAGTTCTAGTTCAGAGCAGAGAAGTTTTAAAAGATAATTTCTATACCTGGGTTACTGATGTTCAGAAGTTTGCAGGAGTAGGGGTCTTCTCTGTCCTCCACAGGCACAGCACAACCATGCGCACCTATTATAAACTTCACAAGGACACTAAAATAATTTGGTTTTATTAACACCAGTTCTCTTCCCTCCTCCCTCCACCTAAAATAAACTTATTTCATCACAATGGCCTGTCTTTCACAGGACCAAGATTTTGAACTCCTTAAAAATCAGCAATGAGGGTCTCTATGTAGAGCAACCACGTCAATCCCCTCACAGGGGCTCAATTCCAAACCCACATTAGCCTTTTACATTTCATCATGAAGGCACAGGAAGACTGGCAGCTAGGAATGGGATTCAAGCCAGCCAGCACACTAAACAGAAATAAACCTAAGGCAACACTGAAGGATCCTGAAGCCCTGCCTTTCCCTGCCTGGCTTTGTTATTAATTCAAGATTGTTTGAATAGTCTGCATTCAAAAGGCAATTAAAAAAATAATAAAAGACACATAGCATCAAAAGAGGAACAAGGACTCCAGACTATCCGTTACAATGAAACGTCTTGACTTCAGCTGGTAGCAAAACAAAAGGTTGCTCTTTCCAGCCCCAATCACGGTTGTGCTACAGCCAGGAGACAACAAGCAGTACGAAGAGCGAGAGGATCCACCGCAGCCCACGCTTTCACCTAGCAGCTCAACATCCTCCCGGAACTCCATCAAAGCTCCGAAAGGTCACATTTTTACACGACTGAAGGAGCTGTGCTTCACCCCAAACCACACGTTGACACCAAATTCGTGGACGGTAAGGGGCTTTCAGCGCCAGGCGGGCACCGAGACGCGAGGCCTGTCACGAGGACAGCGTTGGCAGGGGTGAACTGCGGCAGAACTCTCTCAGCAACAGCAGCGGTGTCGGCAGGCTGCAAGGTCTCTGCAAGCCATCAGGAAGGGTTCTGCTGGCCACTCAGGCTGCAGCAGTTTGGTGTGCCTGGTGCAGCGGGAGATAAACCTGGACTTCACAGCTGAGGCTGTTGTAAGAGGTTTTTGTGGCTCTCTTGCCAAATGTGATCCTGCCTGCTTCCAGGTATCCTGGGTTACTCAGCACTTCAGGTTGCATACTGTACAAAGTGTACGTTGCAACACAAAAAAGGGAAAGTCTTATACATCACTAATGAACAGTGGCAACTAATTGCAAAAGCAAACAAACAGCAGTGAACAATTACATTTTATTCCTTGCATAAAAAATAGTTCCAGTCCAGAACAAGCAATATTCTTACATATTACTAATATGTAGATATAAAAAAATTTAGCAGATATAAAAAAATTATCAGAGTACAGGATGCTCACAAATAAAGCAAAAAAAGGAAAGCCTTTCAAAAAATAACCAAAAAAAACACGGATTAAATCAAGATATTTAAGCATTATAGTCTTTCCCTGCCCCTCCCTCACAAAGCCCGAAATCACAAAACGCTAGGTATTACCGTTGGCTCAGTGCAGGGTGTTGTTTCAGGTGCTTGAACCAAGTGTTCCTTATAACACTGCGCAGTTCATGATTGTGTCGAGCTGACAAAACACCTACAACAACATCGTAGTGCTTCAGCTTCCACTGCGGAAAGAAGGCCAGTGGACCTAGAAATACAAAGTGACAAAGATTTGGTGGTCAGGCATTGGAACAGGCTGCCCAGGGAGGTGGTGGAGTCCCCATCCCTGGAGGGGTTTAAAAACGTGTAGATGTGGCACTTCGAGATATGGTTTAGTAGGAATGGTGCTGTTGGATGGTTGGACCTGATGATCTTAGAGGTCTTTTCCAACCTATGATTCTATGTATTACCACAAGCTGCACAGGACCTTGTCCAGGCGGGTCTTGAGTATCTCCAGAGAAGGAGAATCCACAACCCCCCTGGGCAGCCTGTTCCAGGGCTCCGTCACCCTCAGAGGGAAGAAGTTCTTCCTCATGTTCAGACGGAACTTCCTGTGCCTCAGTTTGTGCCCATTGCCCCTTGTCCTGTCACTGGGCACCACTGAAAAGAGCTTGGCCCCATCCTCCTGACACCCACCCTTCAGATATTTATAAGCATTTATTAGGTCCCCTCGCAGCCTTCTCCAGGCTGAACAAGCCCAGCTCCCTCAACCTCTCCTCGTAGTGGAGAACGTACCCTTGCTGCGTAATGCACCTCAAAAGCAAGAGTACTGGGAACCTGAAACCCTAGGAACAAGAAGTAGAATTACTATCACATTCTCAGTTCAGAATCAGGGGAACATTTTCAACACATCAAAACCTTCACCAGCAATCGAGGAAAACTTCACTGTGATGAGCTAAGCAAGTCACTGCAAGTAACAAAACTAACAAACTGACTCACAGAGCAGACCAGAACACAAGCCGTGGTTTTAACTGAAAGCATCTTCCATTCTTTAAATATTTGCCTACTTGTCTTAAGAGCAAACTGCCCCCTGAGAACATGCTGTTGTTGGGCTTCTCTCTATCAGCCATCAGAAATCTCGTGGGCAAGACACAAGGTCCCACTGTTCCCTCTGCAAAAGTCTCGAGGCAGTCTGAGCCTTCTGCTTGCTCACGGATACCTCCTCCAGCACGATTTATCCCAAAGCTGGGGGGCTTGTCATCCGGTACCAGGTCTTCATTATTAGAATTCACCATTATCCTACCTAGAAAAAAAAAATGATTTAAACAAGGCCTGTCAGATTCAGAAATATGCCCATTTCCCCCCTTCTTTTTAAAACTGCTGGACCACTCTTCTGCCTCACCATTTCATAGAATCACTAAGGTTGGAAGAGACCTCTAAGATGATCAAGTCCAACTGTCAACCCATCACCACCGTGCCTACTAGCAGGTCCCGGCGTATCGCTTCCAACCCTCTGAACGGCACCCTGCCTTCACAGAGGGTGTCACAGCCCTGCGCGGGAGAGTGCTCCGGCTTTCTTCATACCTTGATGTCACCGCCAACACCTGTAACCCACGATTTAGCTCGTGCTGTTCTAATTTAGAGATAGTGAAAGTTGGACTCGATTTCAAGCAACATTATGGCCAGATAGAGACCTGAGCAGCTCTGACTGAGCCTCCAAACAGTCAGGCAAGTAGCTAAAATGAATGTGCATAGTTTGATTTATCAGACAATCTAGAGTTAGGAGATATTTATATTTAGCTTTAGCAAAGGATTGTTTTCCTCTCATCTCACTGTTTTGTTTTGGTTTTTTTCCATTAGGCTGCCGACAGAGAAAACAAATGTAAATGTGAGGGCCCTCTAAACTACTGCATACAGCATCGACAAGATTTTTTTAAAGCTAACGTTAAAGAGACCAAAAATATCTCCAAGTCTGTATTGTGTACTCCCACTAGCAAGAGCTGACTTATAATCCAGATTCTACCCTCTGCACCAGCATCCCCTTTCTCCGCCCTGAGCAGATAGATGGGTCTTGTTGCAACTGCTCACTAACTGAGGACCTCACAGCACCCGCCACGAGCACTGCCGTGCCAAATCACACCAGACATCCATCTAGCCTGGTATTCCATCTCCAGCGTGAGGGACACAGCGGAGAGGCCTTGGCCTCACTCTCTGCTGAATCAATGTCAAGAGATTTCAGAACATTTGGGTTTTTTTGCTTCAGGGGCTATTGATAATGGCTTGCACCTGACTCCCTAGTCCCAAAGCCAAACAGAACAGTGCTCTGCAATCGATTCTCACAACAGTACAAGAGCAGGGAAACCACAGAGTGATGCGTCCACAGACAAACCTTTCCCAGTCTATTTCCCGCTAAGTATTTTAGTTTAAGGCATGCAAACACTGGTTTTCAAAAAAAAAGTTAAGTTCCACAATTATTTAAATCACAGAATCACAGAATCACAGAATAGTAGGGGTTGGAAGGGACCTCTGTGGGTCATCTAGTCCAACCCCCCTGCCGAAGCAGGGTCACCTACAGTAGGCTGCACAGGATCTTGTCCAGGCGGGTCTTGAATATCTCCAGAGAAGGAGACTCCACAACCTCCCTGGGCAGCCTGTTCCAGTGCTCCGTCACCCTCAGAGGGAAGAAGTTCTTCCTCATGTTCAGACGGAACTTCCTGTGCCTCAGTTTGTGCCCATTGCCCCTTGTCCTGTCACTGGGCACCATTGAAAAGAGCTTGGCCCCATCCTCCTGACACCCACCCTTCAGATATTTGTAGGCATTTATAAGGTCCCCTTGCAGCCTTCTCTTCTTCAGGCTGAACAAGCCCAGTTCCCTCAACCTCTCCTCGTAGTGGAGATGCTCCAGTCCCCTCACCATCCTTGTAGCCCTCCGCTGGACTCTCTCCAGTAGCTCTTCATCTTTCTTGAACTGGGGAGCCCAGAACTGGACACAGTACTCCAGATGAGGCCTCACCAGGGTAGTGTAGAGGGGAAGGAGAACCTCCCTCGTCCTGCTGGCCACACTCTTCTTGATGCACCCCAGGATCCCATTGGCTTTCTTGGCAGCCAGGGCACACTGCTGGCTCATGGTTAACCTGTCGTCCACCAGGACACCCAGGTCCCTCTCCGCAGAGCTGCTCTCCAGCAGGTCCACCCCAAGCCTGTACTGGTGCATGAGGTTGTTCCTCCCCAGGTGCAGGACCCTGCACTTGCCCTTGTTGAACCTCATCAGGTTCCTCTCTGCCCAGCTTTCCAGCCTATCCAGGTCACGCTGAATGGCAGCACAGCCTTCTGGTGTATCTACCACACCTCCATAACTTAAGCCGAACATTAACCTATTAAGAAAGTTTACATCAACTTATGCTCAGAACAACATAAAAACCCAAGCTGCGAGCCGCTAGATCCATCCCTCAGCTTTCCACTGAAGTCAACTGTCACATCTCTAACAACCAGACACTGAATTGGTGGCAAAGTTCAGGAATATGATTTGTTTGCTGACAGAGCTAAATACAAACCTACTCCCCTATATAACATCTGAAGAAACTTGTAAATCAAGCACACTGCTCAATCCGAACACAATTTTAGTCTTCCTTTCTGCTGGTAAATACCAACTATCCAGAGGCTCTGTACGTCTTCAGAGGCCGTTACATACCCAAGGCCTGCCAGGTCTCCACAACAGCAGAGCAACACGAAACAGCCACGCGTTCGTAAGACTACAACATTACAGTAAATTCCTCCACAGCCTCATAATTCTCTCGCACACATCCCTTTTCTTTCCTGGCTCCTCTTCTTATTTAAACAGCCTCTGCAGCCTTAACCACAAGCCTTCCGATATAAACCTCACAGGAGGGCTCAGGTATTTGTAGGCTGAAAGTGAGGTATTGTTTACACAGATTTGGTTTTTAAGGTATCACTTTTACTAGAAGCAGAACCATTTCATTAAACCAAAATTACAGAAAAATAAAACTAAGTGCAGAAGTCTATGGGGTGACTTGACTCAGAATTGGCTCAAAGCAATTAAAAAAAAAAACCCAACTAAAAATAAGCTACTCAAATCAAATACACATACTTTTAATTAGTTCATATTTTAAAATGAGTGAAGTTTTTCCTTATGAACCATTCATGTGGGAACAACGTTAATGTAACAGATGCTTCAGAATCATATCCTACTGCTTTTAGAACAGACAGCTCTTCCTTGTTTCAGGCATCTTCAGGCTTAGTAAGGTAGAATTACAGCAGTCTATCTTCAGAAGTTTGTCTTCTCTGTCCCAAGGGTTATGCCATTTTACTTTTAAAACCACTGCAAATGGAAAAAAAAGTTACTTTCAGAAAAACCTAATGAATAAGCTCTCTGCTTGTTAGCTAGGGTTTCTAATTGCGATGGAAAAAACATTTGCTAAACTTTCAGGAAAAGAGATTCATACATCTCTCTGAACTAGCACTGTTTAAAAAAGGGGAGATAATGTCAGAGGCACAAGGAAAAAAAAAAGACTAAGGCTATTATTCATTTACAACAATAATTCGGACACACGCATGTATATACTCTGATGGAGCAGAAGTTAAGAGAACACGTTGCTGACCTCCAAGTCAACAATAACACAGTATTTCTACAAGCAATCCATACTTGTCATTGGGGACCAAACTTATTTATCCTATGTTCTGTTTTTGTGCATTCTTAGGCTGAAATTTTAAGTCTTGGTAATAGGCTTAAAAATACATACTATATTGCTCTTACCTTGCGCTGGTTTTGCAAGATAATTAAGCCTTTAAATTTTTGAATTACAAAGACAAGGAAAACACTGTAAAGTTGGGGGGCGGGGAAGGCTGCACACCACACTCCACCATACACCCTCGAAGTGTTGCTAACTGAAGGGATGCAGGAGGAGAGGAAGCCTTTCCAATTCAAAGGCCACCCTACAACGAGTTGCACTGCTTTTGAATCCTTACTGTCTCAGAGCTGCGTCACAGTTACACCACGCAGCCCAAGAACTCTCGGTGGAACGTAAGAAGTAGCCAAACGTGCATGGCCCACCCGACGCTCCTCTAGCCCTAGGAACTAAATTGCTTTCGCTTTGCTCTTTTGCTTGAGACTGTTAACCCACAGCAAAAGCTATGAAAACATGAAAGGGAGCAGCCCTCTCTCAGCTGCTGAGATCCATTTAATTCTGTACAACTGTCAGGAGTACTTCTGTCAGCTCCAAGACGAAGGAAGTCCAGCCTGCCACCGCCCTGTGTCACGGTTAATAACAAGCTCTCACTGAAGCTTTCCCGGACTGGGGTATTTGTAAGGACAGGCGCCCACATAATTCTTCCCCATGAGGGTGGTCAAACACTGGCACAGGTTGTCCAGAGAAGTTGTGGCTGCCCCCTCCCTGGCAGTGTTCAAAGGCAGGCTGGATGGAGCTCTGAGCAGCCTGGTCTAGTGGGAGATGTCCCTGCTCATGGCAGGGGGGTTGGAACCAGATGATCTCTAAGGTCCCTACCAACCCAAACCATTTTATGATTCCATGATTCTCTGATGTCTGACCATACATGTATTTCTGTTAGGACAGTTTTTCACCTCAATATGAGCTGCAGTAAGGTTTCGCAGGATTCTTAGTCACCAATTTTCACGAAGCTTGGTGAAAATGCTGGTGTTCGGGACCTCCACCAGTCTGTGAAGCTCGGCTGAGAATTACCAACCAGTGAAAGTCAGGGAGAGACGCAGGGAGAGGCAACCGAGGGCATACAGAGAGCACAGGGCTGTGCCCCCAGAAGACAAGGCTAAAGATACCGAGGTGAGCAGCTCTGCTGAACTGGTCACGGACAGAGGTCGCTGCTGACAGGCAGCCTGCCGGCCCCGCTCAGATTTTAACATTTTAACCACCTCAGCAGCTGTCAGTAGCTCTTGAAGTTTTTCAGAATCCCAGACTACAAAGATTAACATGCATCTCTCCTTCCTGTGAGACTGATTCTCCAGGAAAATGTCAAGTTCAGCTGTTAATTATATTTACTGTCATTATAAGGAGATGAAAAGATTGAGAGATCATTTACCTTGATTTTTGTCAATAAACAAGGTAAATATGATCGCGCTGCACACATCTCTATTGATGAGTCCCCTACCAACTACTAAATTTGCCAGGCATTTTAGGTCAAGTTTGACATGGTGTGCAGTCCCCAAAGTGACTGAAGTTTCCATATTTCACGGAACCGGACAGAGAAAAGGCTCCTTGCTAATGCCCGCACTGCGAAACACAGCGGGGTCGGCTTATCTGTGCTACCCGGCACCAGAGAACCTCCACCGGCCACCGCCAGGGTGAGTGAGTTCCACTGAAGGGTGGGCTTTGCAGCTTCTGCTATCCATGCAGCTACTTTTGGGTTTTTTTGTTTTTAAACATCAGTGGATGGAACTAAGTAGCCCAGGCAGACGTTAGTAAGGATATTCACAATTAACTCACTTCATAAGATAAAACTAAAAAGGAACATCACCCCCCCCCCCCCCCCCCTTAAAATACCCCACACATTCCAGGTTGTTATCTCTGCCTGTTCTTGTGACTTTGCAACCATATTCCTGCTTTTAAATGCCTTTCTCTTTCTTCTGTGCTGCTTTGTGAAAGATCCAAACAAACACGGAGGAAGGAATTAACTGAATATAAAGAAGGTTTGTATCCACAGAATGCTGACACAAGCAGGAAAAGAACAAACCAAAGAGCAAAAGCAGCTCTTTCCCCCTCTCTAATCTTCCCCACTTCAAGTAATCTCCTATAGCTCATCTGCATGAGAGGTTTCTCTGCAAGCAGAGCTACATGACCCCACTGCATTACCTACTTTAAACCAGAGCTAAAAATCACCAAGACGTATACCCCTGGTTTCTACAGGAGCACAGTACTCCTTGAGACAGACAAGCCTTTACACAAGCTTTTAAACATGCTTTACAGATTCAAAGAGGAAAATCTCTGTAGGCAGATTTATCTTTTTTTTTTCCCCCCCCCAGCAGCTTTCCCTTCAAGAAACAGGACAGCAGGGTCCTTCTGAGCTGCAAAGCGACAGGAGTAATACTGGTGGGATGATGGTGCTCTAAGCATCATTAGTGATACAGCACTTGCACGCTTCCAGACAAATCTGGGAACAACGGCCGAAGCCTCAGAAGCACAGACACGAAAGGAATAAAGCAAATCCTTTTTGCAACACTGAAGCTGATGCCTTTTTTGGGGGGCAGAAGGGGAAGCACAGGGGAAGCACAGCACCTTTACCCTTTGAAAAGTGGCTACCAGTCCCTGACGCCGCGGAGCAAAAGCCTGCTCCCAGGGCAGGCTGCTTGCTCCCTTCTGCCTGTTCTACTCAGCAGGCAATGGAGAAGAGAACTGGTGAAGAGCTCCCTCCAGCCACAGGCCTTGCTCTCCGGCTCTGGCAGAACTGGTACCCTCCGCCCCTGCTCCGAAGACAAACAACAAAACCACAACTCCAATGCTGCTCGTTAGTCGTTTGCCACACCTCAGGCATCAGACCACAGAAAAACTGCAAACTCTAAAAAAAGAGAAACAATTCAGTTGGAAAACACTGTCAGCTTCATTGTGGATTCTATGTCAATTATTTCACGCCCACCAAAGGTGAGGGGTTTGGTTTTGTTGGGGATGGCCCATCCCCAGCAAACAACTTTACAGTAAGATCTCACAGACCAAGGTTGGGGAACAGCCGGCATTTCAGGCAGAACTGCAGAGCTACCGCCAGTGCCAAACCTGACCTGTTGATGGAAGGTTTCCATTTCCAAGGCCATCAACCTATCACTCCTCACACGCCTACAGAAGATGAAATAACTTTATGACCAAGCATACTACTCCCTGACAGACAGGCTTAACAGATCTCAGACAACATCTTTTCTTAAGAAAGCACCATACTTTGGCAGAAGTTCTCCTTACAGAGTATGGCATCACTCCAACCTCAGTTTGTTTCTACATTTTGTTATTTCAGTACTGAGCAGCCAAAAGAGGGTTAAGCTCTCCCTCCTTTTCCCTCTTTTGCCCAGTACACAGGCTAGTCCGTGAAGGGGGGCAAAGCGGATCACCAAGCGCCAGCCCAAACAACCTGCGCACGGCTCTGCCAGGCCAGTGCCCGAGGAAGTACGTGCTGATCCACAGGACAACAGACGGCATTCGAGCAGTTGCTAGTGTATGGTGGGTTTTAAATCGTCGCATAATTATTCACTAGTAAAAGATTGACTGACAAAACTAAAAGGGCCAGTTCTTAGCTGCCACACTCCCCCAGAAATGTAACAGGAATAACATCTTAAAGGGCATTAGCATCAGCAGAGAAGTAGCATATTACATTGAATGTGCGGGGCTTTCTGATTAGGCACTGTAACTGAAGCCCTGCAATGAGTAATTTCCTACTCAATAAGACTTGTGCCATCAGTTAAAACACACAGTTAGCAATGAATCCACCTGGAGTGCTAAAAGCAGGTCTGTCTGTTCTTTCTCAAGTTTCTGAGGTCATTTTATAATTAGCTTTTATCTAAGATTTTTACAAAAAATAACCAAAACTTCCTACCCACAAACTTCCTTTGGGTAGCACTTGTTTGTAACCAGTTAGATAAGGACTTTAATTAAACCTAAAAGCAAGTTCTTGCACAAGTCTTGCTCAGAAATGTGAATTAAAGCCCCCTTAACCAACAAACAGCAAGAAAGCAGGGAGCCAACAAAGTCAGGAGACCGAAGCACAGGCCAGCACCTTTGGTCTCGGAACCAACCCTATTTCTTTTTTTCCAGCTAATGAGTACTGCTTACAAGAAGTGTGCTCTACTTTCTGTGACACCGAGGTGAAAGTGATGATGAACACAGAGAAAGCCAGAATACTGCGCAGGGAGAGACACAGTGGAGGGCCAAAGCAGGCAGGCAGGCTGCAGGTCTTTCACACGGGCGAGTTAAGAAGAAGGTTCCATTAAAGGAGGTACTTCCCATAGAGGAACAGAAGGAGATGGAATCAGTGAAGACTGGAACACCGTTTACATTTAAAACCATCTGACCTACAGGCAACAACAATACACTGCTTTCCAGAAAGGGGAAGCCTGTTTTTCCAGTAGCAATTAGAAGTACCTGAATTACTCAGTTTAAGAAAAAAGTCTAAACCAGATACCTTTGATCTCTATGGTTACACGATGGAGGTTTACTTGAAGGAGGGAAAGACCCTTTCAACTGAAAGGCTTAAGAACAGAAGGGCATAAACCAGTTGCAAGTAAGCTTAGGCCAGAAATGAGGAAAAGTTTCTACACAGGACAACCAGCTTCTGGAACTGCCTCTTCCCAAGACTGCCAGGAACCCAAGCGAACAAACGAAAGCCCATCCCAGCCCTTCCCTAGATAGAAGTAGGCTGCCCAGCTGTCATTTTAATACAGAGATCAAGTAAGCAGAACTGATGGCCAGAGATGTCTGTTCCAGTCTCATGTTAGCAAATCAGTGCTGTCAAGGTAAATAATCTCTAATACAGGTTATCAACTTTTTTAAACAAATTTCCATTTGTGTGCGTGTGCGATGAGTATTGAGAGGGGAATTAAAGTTCTCAAAAAACAGAACTGCTGTTCACCCTGCCTTTGACCTCCACCAGTAGCTAATTTTGCAACTGTTGAGACACTACACAACTGTTGAGACACATAGATGCTACACAGAAACACCAGAGAAGAGCAAATAATGCCTTCTTATGTCACAGCTATTGTAAAACACTGTCCCATGATCAGATTTAATTTTGATTCATATCAGTGGTTCCAGGTAGTAGGCAATAAAGAGCAGCTGGAGCAGTAAGCAAGTAAGCAGTAAGCAAGAACCGAAAAAACAAAAGGATTACTCTGTATCAAATGAAAAAAGACTGGCTTTATCAGGCAGTACCAGATCCTCTTAAATAGTTTCAGATTCAAGAAGCATTTTAAGAAACAGAGACATTTGTTATCCTTGTATATGAACTCATTAATGTTCATAAAACACTCTTGAATAATAAAAAAAAGTAACACAGAAGACATCAGAGATAGAAGTGGTCCCTTAGCTCATCCTTCTTTCCTCTGCCAAGGCAGCCGTATCTACAGCTTGTGCATTTTGTGGTACTTTGAAGGCTAAGAGGCAGCCTCTTCCTTAAATTATCATGCAAGGATCACGAGTCCTGCGTCCAGCTCTGGAGCCCTCAGCACAGGACAGAGCTGGAGCTGTTGGAGAAGGGCTGGAGGAGGCCCCAGCAATGACCCGAGGGCTGGAACCCCTCTGCTGGGAGGAAAGGCTGGGAGAGCTGGGGCTGTTCAGCTTGGGGAAGAGAAGGCTGCGGGGAGACCTTATTGCGGCCTTTCAGTTATGAAAGGGGGCCTGTAGACAAGATGGGGACAATCTTGTTGTGACAGGTCAAGGAGTAAACTAAGGGAGGGTAGAGTTAGACTGGATATAAGGAAGAAATTTTTTACAGTGAGGGTGGTGAAACCCTGGAACAGATTGCCCAGAGTGCTGGTGGATGCCCCATCCTTGGAAACATTCCAGGCCCGGTTGGACGGGGCTCTGAGCAACCTGACCCAGGTGAAGATGTCCCTGCTCACTGCAGGGGGGTTGGGCTGGATGGCCTCTGAAGGACCCTTCCAACCCAAACCATTCTATGGTTCTGTGATTCTATGAGAGACAGCACATGCACCGTATTAAGCACCCTCCTACCGATGATGGAACTTCGCTTTTTGCAACAGGCATCTGTTTTTCTCTCCTCAGTGTGAATACATTACTTAATAGTTACAACTAAATAACCCTTGCACAAACAAAACTTACTCTTTCAGCATGAAAAAAGCAGCTTTTTAAAAAACTAGCTATCCTAACATTATCCAACGCAACACAGTTTCACAGTAACAAATGCAAACTCAGTAATAACTGCTTGTAACAGTCATTTGACAAAGAGCAAAGCTGCTTCCCTCCCTCCCTGACTGAGAAACTTCTGGATTTTCTTTAGGAGTGTTCGTTAGAGGAAACACGTTACTGCAGGCAAGGCCACCGTGAGATTCCACACCGCCACTTCCAAGCCCAGCTCCGCGCGCCGAAGCCACGAAAGCGGGGCCGCGAGCGAGGAGGAACAACACCCGCCAGACAGATTCGAAGGCGCGTCAGGCGAACAGCGCGAGCCCCCGCTCCTTCCCAGCGCCAGCGGGACCACGGCCGACACAGCGGCACCGCCATGGCCCTCGCACCGCCCTGCGCGCCCGCATCACACATTTTTTTCCCTATATTTTTTTTCAGATGTTCTGTAGAGTATTTTGGGCTACGAGGATGATGAGGGGACCTGGAGTGTCTCTCCTACGAGGAAAGGCTGAGGGAACTGGGCTTGTGGAAAGGAGAAGGCTGCGAGGGGACCTTATAAATGCCTATAAATATCTCAAGGGTTGGTGTCAGGAGGACGGGGCCAGACTCTTTCCAGTGGTGCCCAGCGACAGGACAAGGGGCAACGGGCACAAA